ATATGTTTGTTGCCTTTTCGCCGTTTCGCTTCCGATGCGCTTTTGAAGCCTCGCGGGTGCCCCGAGATGGCTGGGCCATCTTGGGCCCAAAAGTGTTCTCAGAGTGGCCCAAGATGCCTAGTAAACGGCCCGAAGAGCGAGCGCGCAAGATCGGCCCAAAAGCGGCCCCCGAGGCGATTTTGATGGCCTCATGGAGGGAGGCAACTTTGCGACCCCCCATCCCTTGCACAAGAACTGTGCAATGATACGCTTTGCCTCAAACTCTGGAGCATACGGGGGCGCCCCACGATCATTTTGCAAGGTTTTTGACGGGGACGGCGGGGGTGTCCTCATATTGCCTGCTGCGCGCAGGCCAACAATTCTTTGTCAATTTGCAAAGCCAAATGCAGTGTGCTTCCAAATCTGGAGCATGCGCGAGCGCCCCGCGACCACTTCGCATTGGTTTTTTGCAAGGATGTTCGGGTGCTACTTATGTGTTGGGAGGGCGGGCGGGTGTGAGCGAAACGGCGTGTGCATTGTGAGCAAGCGGTATCTTGAACACTGTTCCTTATTGATAAACACTCCGCCCCCCAGGCGACCGACAACCAACCCAGACCAACGCGTCCCCCCACCATGCGCGGCACAAAACAATACAACATGCACTTTGCCTCCAAATCTGGAGCACGCGCGGGCGCCATGCGACCTCTTCGCAGTGGCGTTTGACAGGGACGACGGGGGTCCTAGCAGATGGCTTGCTGCTCGCAGGGCAACAGGCCCTGCCAACAAACTGTACAACATATGCTTCGGCTTCAAGACTGCAGCATGCGCTGGGCGCTCTTTTCTTTGACATGCCATGTGTTCTGCGATTCCTCAATTTGTCACAGTTTGTCCATCGGTACCGGTGCTTTGCGCTCTCTGGAGGAGCCGCCCTTCTCACATAATGCTCGGCACTTCGCTTCTGGACTCCTTGGGGCCCGGGCCCCAGGCACCTGGGGTCTTTATTGGTAACCCGCAGCTAACACACCTGCCGCGGCTGGAGCATGTGGCACACGAGGCACATGTGGAGCACGTGCCGCACCTGGCACGCTTGGGCCTCCAGGGTGCCTGGTTCACCTGGAACCCGTGGCGCGCGTGACATGTGTGGAGCTCCTAGGCGATATGCTGACATTAGGGTGTTACGTATGTGTAGGGGTCGGGTCGGAGTGAGCCAGACGGCTTGCTATCCTGGAGGGTCGCTTGACCCCTCCTCCTACCCGCCCCCCCTTGGTCTGGACGTGGCGCTCCGCGAATTGTAGAGCGCCCGAGAAGGCCTCAGCGAGAAGGCAGCAGTCACTGATTTTCCACAAAAGTTTCGGGCCAATGTTGGCATCCTGGGAAGGTGACGTTCATCAAAGGCCCACCATGCTTTGACCGATCGCATCCATGATGGCCCCAAAACGGCCAGTCAACAAAAACCCACGAGAGCCCCACTAGGCCACCAAGAGTCCCCAAGAGGCCAGCCAGAGGCACCCAAGACGCTCCAATCTAAGAGCCAGCGGGAGGCCCTGAAGACGCCCCACTATGCCCATATAGAAAGGCCTAGAAAGACGCACCACAAGACACAAAAAAACATCCAATGGGCCTCTGGCCCACAAGCGACTTCGACATTTCCGAATGACGCCGCCCTTCCAATTTCATGATAGCTTCTGTTGGCATCGTGTTCACATGGGCTGGAGGGGATACGCAACAAGTGACAAACTCGTTCTCCCTTCACCGCTCGCCTTCGGGGAAAATTCTGCCTTTCCCTATGCCTCCCCCCTCTCCCTGGATCTGGACGGGCCCGACCGCGACGCGTTAGAATTTCCAAGATGGCCTAATCTGGCCCCAGATGGCCCAAAACGGCCTCCAAGACTCCCCCATACTGTTCAGTGCGGTCCCAAACTGCCACGGAGCCTCCAAAGGACCACCGCCCCCGAGAGGCCCACACCCTTGCCAACCTTACTGACACAAATTTTGGTGTGCATATTTGCACCCTCATTTCCGATGGACTCTCGCGGCCTCATGATGATGGCCCCGGCATGGCCGAAGAGGGACCCAACCAGGGCCCAATGAGGCCCCACTAAAAGCTCAAGCGGACGATTCTTCGGCCTCCGAATGGGGCGCCGGCGGGGGGGGCGTGATTGGATACCCGCCCCTTCGTTCTGGATCGATGGCCCCCCAGATGGCTCCAAGAACGCCCTGAAGGCTTCCATTCTGGCCTCAAGTGGGCCTCAACGGGGCTGCGAAAACACAGCAAAAGACTGCACACTTGCCCCAATACGGCTCCAATAGAATCCCTCGAAGGCTCCCAGATGCCTCCAGGAGACCCCCCCCGAAGCGTGAATGCATGCTGCTACTCATCTCTGATCAAGGCAACTCGCCCTTGGATTGTCTTTCAAGTGGGCTGGTGGGGGTCCTTTTGTGATCGCAAGCGTAGCGGAAGTGCCGAACGCCGTCAGAAGTCGTAACACTCTAGCTACGGCCTAAATTACGCGAGAGGGAGAGAGAAAGAGAGAGACAACGAGAGAGCAGCGGGGAACATCTGGTGGGGGTACTTTTTAGTCAGCGGCCGCGGGCGATCGCGCCGGCTGCGTGTCAGGTCAAAGCGGGCTACGCAGAGACGAATCTGGTGGGGGTACTTTTTGGATCTGCGGCTCCAAGGACGATTCCAGAGAGCGGGTAGTATCGAGCATGGAATGACACGCCAGATAATTACCAGCGGGCCAAGAGCCAGCGCCGGAGTGCAAGCAAGAGCATGAATAAACTCTGGTGGGGGTACGCGCAGCGTTGAGAATTTCGTCGCGCGCGCATTTGCCACACACCGTAGGCGGCGTGCTTGCAAACGGTCGTTTGCAAACACTCAGGTGGACCCGTCGATGGCGAAGGGCTTGTCGAAATTTGCGTTCAATTGCTCGCGCGGCCTCGAACATTTGACGCAAGCGCGCGAGCGTTCACTTCAGAAGTGATCTCTGGCACGCGTGAAGGTTTGATGCGATAGGATACGACGAACTAGATGCTTTATAGCTGAGTGGGCGGGGTGACACGCAGCGACGAATCTAGTAAAGCACTACTGTAATCATGCTTCCTCTCTTCTTCAAACTCGACCAGACCCTACCAAGCTGCCCCATTCGGTCCGGGCGCTTCATACTGCGTGTTTCGAAATGCATTGCGTGGTAAGAAATAAAACGTCATACATATGAATTGCACCATTCGGTGAGTCTGGCGGGCCATACCTCAACATGCCGTCATCGTGTAGAACGTCAATGATAACGGCGAAGGTGGCGAGGTCAACTGCAAGGGCAACTACGACAAAGCCACGATGCCGAGGAGGGCGACGATAAGAACGACGACGGCCACGACGAGGAAACAACGCCCACCACATCAGGAAGGAGGAACACACCCAGGACTGCGACGGGCAGACCGACCCCACTATAACAACGGGGTGAACCAGCCTCTGCTGATTGTCGCTGTCATCTCTGGGTCATGTGGACATCTTCATGTCACACTTGGGTAATCCCAGGGTCACCTTGACGTCATCTTGACGTCATCTTGGAGCCACCTAGGGGGTATATGGTCGTCCTGGGGTCGAACTGGCTTCATAGAGTCTCCTTGGGATAATCGGGAGATGCCCTGAGGGTCACGGAGTCGCTCTGGGATCAGATTGGAGTCGCGGTGTCTTCGAGGTGCGTCAGGTGTAGCCTCGGGTTCCTATGGGTTCCTCTTTGGGCGCGAACGCGGTCAGACCCAGACTGGCAACTGGACGGGCGGGTGGGTGCGGGCGGATCCTCACAAGCCACCCTGAGGTCATGAGATCACCGTGGGGTCATTGTCGTGTCATCTTGGGGTCAAGGGGCCTTGTCGGGGCTCCTGGGGTCATCTTGGGGTCGTCGCGGGGGCATCGATTCACATTGGGGTCGTGGGGACCCCTTGGGCTCACCTTGGGTCATCCTGGAGTCATGATTCGGGCATCTTAATGTCAGGCTCATACTGGGTTTATGAGTGGGTTGTCCTAGGGCTATCTCGGTGACATCGTCAAGCCATGGCGTCATCATCGGGTCATGGCGCTCATCTTCGGGGGCGTCTGGGGTCATTAGGTCCTTTGGAGTCATGGTACATCTCGGGATCAATCCCCAAGGTGTATCATGACCCCCAACAAAACAAACAAGAATACGTCTTGGGGTCGTGGCGCCATCTCGCTGGTCAGCTCTGGGTCTTGGGATCATCTGGGAGCCGATGGTAATCATGGGGTCAAGGGCGGCAGGAAGGATAGAAGCTTGCACGGATACTGTGGGGTGACTGGTGAGGGGACATGCTAAAGATGGAAGGGGGCTGAGGGAGGAGGAACGTAATCCAGAGCCAGATCCTGAACACACTATGACATCTAATCCAGGACTCGATTCGAGGGTAGATTCTGGAAGCCGAAAGCAGAATACAAGAGCCACTATATGGTACATGTGTGCCGAACAAATGCTCAATGCTCGAACATCCAAATTCGGAATACTCCAGTCCCGGAATCCACAAGGTGGATTCTGCACCTGGACCCACATCCAAAAATTAGCTCTGGCAAAAGGCAATTTAGACTTGGCTTCTGGGTTGGGTCTTTTCGCCGTGGGCCACCAAGTCACTGCTATTAGTACGCGTAAGTTTGCACTAGCATTGGGGGAGAAAATTCTGGTTCTCAATACACTGAGATTGAGCAGTCATTGGCATGTCAGTCGGGCAAGCAAAACAACGATTACTGCATCATGGTTCAACCACATAGTAATACCACGGTGTACATGGAGACACCAATGCCCACAGGCTTTTGAACTGCGCAGCTTCTACATTGAAATATCACGAACGCCCTAACGCACAACGTTTCAGGCCCGGCAAGGACAACGCCGCATTCGCATGCTTGCTTGTTCTCCCTCGTTGGATTGCACTCCCATGACCTACCACCTGCATGTACTTCCTCATCGAACGACATGCGGTCAACATCATGTGATGCACTGGTGCTGCATCAACGGCCAACACTGACCAACCGCACGCAGGCTAAAACACGACGTAGGACAACCCATCGAGATATCGAAAGAGCACTGCACATTTCTGGGTGCTTCCTGAAAGCTCGGGCAGTCCATACGTGCATACCTAAGACCACAGTGCGTGATTTTAAGTCCGAGCAGGGGCTTGGAAAATGATCCAGGGTGTCGCTGCGCTGCGTCATCCTCTAACGCAGCCCGCGCGTAGCGCTCGAACGCTGACGTTGCCAAGCTACACATGTCCGTGCCCACCGCACTTGAAATACTTCTCAGGCCATGCAGAACCTTTAAAACTATACCGACGCATCAATGACACACATGCCTTTTTACAGCGAAATTCGAAACTGCGCCCTAGGCCCACTCGAGCGCAGGTCGACCATGGAGGGTCAATGTACATCACGCGCTCTGGAGGCGGCAGCGCATATAATACAATGAGTGGCAGGACACGTGCAAAATTCGATATCTACCGTCAAAAGATGCTGAACATGCCGCTTGCAACCGTTGGTCGCAGGCTGGCGTAACAAAGCGGCCATCTTTGCGACACACGTGTAGATACCCTGATAAGCAATGTGGCATGCCACTATTGATGCGCCCAGTCACGAATTCCACGGGCCACATCTAGACTCGCTTGAGCATCTGGGCCGTCCTCGCCTGCAGTTGTGATGACAATTGAGGCTAGCATCTAAGAACATCGCGCGCGTTTGCAGGCTTCGCACATTGACCATTTGCCACATTCTCCACACGTTGACCTTCTGCCCAGTATGCGCATGAAGCCCTGCTGCACTGCACTGCATACCTGCCACATTCATCAGACACATGTTTCAAGCAAGATTGAAGCAAGGGAGGGGTGGTAGGAGGGGGGCGGCAAGAGCAGGTGCAAAAGGAAGGACCAAATTATGAAGTGACGGAGGGAAGCAGGGAGGGTGGCAAATACTGACGACGGAAAGAGGGAAGGGGGGGGGGGGCACTCCGGAAAATGGCGAACTCCAGCCTCGCGGCTCGCCTATGGCGCTGGTCGTCCCCGACCGCTTGAGCCCCGGCACAAAATTAACATGGTCCCTGGACAACCCCACGCGATAAGTTTGCATGGCCACACCTCTCTCCATCCTTCTCCTCTTTTGGGGCGGGGATGACGACTCAATCGAACAATGACTGGGGAACCGCGACGTGAACCATGAAAATGCAGTATCATCGGCTATACCACACGGGAGCGCAGGAATAATGAAACCGACGGACGGGAATGGCATCACTGCCTACTTAATCGACCTGGCACAGCGCGCATCCACGAACCGACGTGCTGCACATGACAAACACCGAACGGTCTCAACCGACACTTTCGATCAAACGGCCAAACAACTGAAGAATCATCTGGCGTGGTCGTGGCCCGCTTGCTCGTCCAACCATCAATGTTCACACTTCTTCCCTACACAATGAGATCCTTAAGCGTTATCAAACTTCTGAGCTCCGCACCCGGACAAGCGTGCCGCGCGGAGCGTGCCGTGCCGCCTGCTCCTCCCTCCTTCCATCACTCCCTCCTGTCCCCCGTCCTCTCTTCTCCCTGCCTGCTGCTGAGCCGGTGTAAGCTCCAGCGGACGTCCTTTTCCTGGGACCCCATTCTCCCGGAATCATTGAAGTGTCAGGATGTGCTCGACGAAAATTGATACACTAAACGATTATCACGATCATGCTGTTGAGTGTCACCTCCCTCTACCTCCCGTTGTCGCTCAACCTCGAGAGCGGGCGGAGCGGCCGAGAGAGGTGACCGAGCGGCGGGGGATATCGCTGGTCCTGACCGTGAACGGCGTCGGCGGAGGAGAGAAGAAGGAGGACGGCAAGTTTGCGCGTCAAGTCAGGCGCAAGAAAGGAGAGGACGGCATCCAGCAGACCCAGAAGAACTGCGCGGGCTTCAATGCCCACGGCAAATCCTTGTACGTGCCGATGATGAAGATGATCCTCTCTCTCGCCCAGAGCCGCAATATCGAAGGGGTGTTGTTCGACGTGCTCCGTGTGCCCGCAGATATGCCCGAAGTGCTGAAGATACAGGAGCAAGGATCGGCCTACAACTAAATGGTGCAAACAAAAGGCAACGGCCACGGACCACCTGTTCGTCATTGGGAGGGTTGTTGGAGGGCCTCTTCCTGCGCCGCGAGGGCATCGGCAAGGGCAACTACGACAAGCTCTGGGACTGCAAACGGCGGCTCACGACATTAGAGCACGCTCGAAAGATGGATACCATTCGCTTCACCAAGCTGGACCGCTGCTACGACCAGGGCAAGCGCAAGATCGCAATTTGTGTCAACAAGTGCCGCATGGAGATCCTGGGGGCCCTCCAGCAGCTGAGCGCGGCACTCAAGAGTGGGCGTGCCCGACCGTCGCACATGGAGAGGGAAGTTCAAGAGTGGCTGGACGGTGTCCTCGCATAGAGGCCGTGATGACACATTCGGCGGATCGTCTTGATTCGATTACAGTTTTTGCCTCATAATGACAAACATCATTCGTCAGCAAGGTGTGGCTCGCCGACGACCGTGGCACATTCACAAACATCACCAACCTCTGAGCTGGCCTGCAGACACGAGCGGGGCGCGCGGGACGGCCCGACGGAGCCCCAGGGGACGGTAGAGGAGACAGCGGCACCGAGGAGAGTTTCGCCGAGGAGGTTTTCGACGGGATCCCATCCCATAGGCCCTTGAGAGTTTCCCCGATGAGATCTCCCCCACTGGCCCCCTGGACTACGGTGACCTCCAGACCTCCGCTGATACCAATAAGGAGTGCTTCGCCGCGTATGTCTTCACCACAGGTCCTTAGGACTCCAGTGACCCCGGGACCTCCACAGATGCCAATGAGGAGAGCGTCGCCTCGTAGGTTTTCCCCACAGGCTCCTAGGACTCCAGTGACCCCGAGACCCCCGCATATGCCAATGCGGATCGTGTCGCCCATGAGGTTCTCCTCAGGACCAACGGGATCACATAGGCCAATGAGGAGCGTGTCGCCGCCGAGGGTTTTAGAGACTATGACCCGAAGTGCCCCCCGAGAGTGCCGAGGCCCATGGGGTTCAGAGACACGGAGCAGAGGCCCGTGTAGGGGGCCGTGAAGTCATCCGATCTCTGTTGGCTTTGGGAGCTGAGGAGGGCGCGGCGTGATGGCACGCTTCAAGTAGGAGCAAGCACGTTTTGGCTATGGAACGTGCAGAGGGTGACTGTGAAGTCATGTCCGTGGGCCTTGGCTCGGGTAACTCGTGCCTGGGTTTGGGCCCCGGGCGGTGCACCAGTCTTTCGGTGTAGCGTTGGGGCCAGTGTCCCCAGGCGTTATGGATCCGCATCTCGAGGATAGCCTCTGGGCCTTCGGATGTCTAGTTGATGGACGAATTTGGCCCCCACGGAATCATTTCTGTCTCTCTTTCTTTCCAGCTGCTGACTTCTCCTGCCTTCTCTCTGTTCCCTCCTCCTCCTCTTTCCTCTTCCCTCATCCTCCATCCCTCCTTCCCGTCGCCTCCTCCTGGATCCCACTCCCGTATCGTTCGTCGTCGTCATCCTCCTGCTCCTGCTTCTGCTCTCCCATCTACTTGGGGAAGAATCCGTCACCGCGTGCGCGCCTCTCTAAGGCGTCAGTGAGGCGGCAACCTGTTTCTTGTCAGTGAGGCGGCAACCTGGGATGCCAACTCCTGCCGCCGTTTGAATGGGCCTGGAGGGCGACCGCCAGTCCTCGCAGCATTGCTCTGCAATGACGAACGCTGCCGCTCTGAGAGCATGGGGGACAAATGGTCAAACTCTTGGATTTCGAGCACAGAGCGGCGGTCGAAGGCGTGGCCGTGCTGGTGCTCGCAGCCGGAGCCTACTTGCCCAAATCAACTGCGTGCACTTGACCCGCGTGTGTGATGTGGTCCTGAAAACGAAGAGCGGGATGCCTGTACTTGAAGCATGCCTGCCGCGGCGGTGACGTGACCCTCCTGCAGCACGTGGGGAAACCCACCTTGCAGCAAAGGTCATCACCGCCAGATGCCAAGACAGTTGCTCCACACTCAACCTAACTCAAAGCACATCGCGGCCCTCGCTGTAGCTATGAGGTCGGCCGCAAGCAAAGGCGGCGCACACCCATCGCAAAATGCAACATGAACGCAGCTTAACTGAAAGCGGCAACTGCAAGTCACCCTCATTCGCTGGCCCCCTGGCCCACTTAATTCCCCTTCGCATGTTTACTCGCATCGCTGCGCATGGCCTGACCTGCCCTGGCCGGCGCGCTCGGAGTGGAGCGCCGTCGCTTCTGACCACCACGCCAGCGCAGGGCGCCGTGAGCGGCCAGGCTGCCGCTCGCAGGGTCGGTGTAGCTGCTCCGCTGCTCGCGGTCCCCAATTCTACTCCCGCGTAGCCACGACCCTGCTGTGCCTGTCTCCTCGCAGGCGCGGGGGACCTGTCGTCCTCGCCTGCGATGCGAAACGCTCTCGGCCGCCACGGTGTCGCGCCCCACATCGTCGCTACTGCATGGCTGTGTTCCTTGCTGATGCTGCCCCGTCTGCTCGGCCAATTGCAGCACGTTCAACCTTCCCCTGTTCCTGGCTTCTGGTTCCAAGCACGAATCGCACGAGGATGATCCGAACCGTGTTCCGGTGGATCCTGAATCTAGAAAAGCCAGTGTCATCTGGGCGAGCGGCGGCTCGAGGCGGTGTGCGGCGCCTCCCCACGCCAACCGCCGCCCTTTGTCTGCCGCTGACGTCGTCGCTAACTGAACAACCTCCTGGCCCGACTTTCTGACGTATAGTGGCGCGGGCACCCAAGCCCACAGTATGGGCCCGCGGGGATGTAAACTCCCAAAGCCTCCAGCAGGACCGCCTCCAGCAGGACCTCGCGCGCCTTGTCGCCAGCTCCAGCTTCGAGCGCAACCACGTCCCAGATACGCCTATCCAATAGCCCGCGCAACTCTGATGGGGGTACTCTGAGACGGTAGCGGTCATGAGCTCCCGTTGCGCCCGCCCCACGGCCGAGGGCCTGCGAGTGCCTGCCAGGGTGGTTCCATTCACCCCTCCCTGGACCCTCGCGGACCTTGATCGCCGACGAGAGAGCATGAATCGTTCAAGAAATAGTCGGCGTCTGGGGCGCCAGACCAGAGCAGCGATGCTCCATGGTCGCCAAGGTATCGCGGGCGTCGCAAGCTAATTACTACGCACATGCACATCGTGCGTGACGGCGAGCTCTTGGCATCGACCTGCTTGCGCCCCCAGGAGCCTTCCAACTCCGAGGGGGGGGTCCCTGGAATGCTCTCGATCGTGGGCTCCGCGCTAAAATCACCCAGAACCAGATCACTCGCGACGTCCAAGTGAGGGTCCAAAAATGCCTATCCAAGCCGTGCTGGATCTGGCAAAAGTCGATCCACTCCTGGAGGTCCCAAGACCGTTTACTGTCCGAGCACATGTGCTGCGCAAAATCAAATTTGAACCTGCAGCACTCGGGCCTGCCAAATCGGGCCCGCCCCTCCGCCGGCACCTCCTCCACCCTGGGGGGGCCGGCCAGCTCTAGTGGTTCTGTATCCCAGGGCTCGGAGGCCGCGCCTGAATAGTGCCTGTCGGCGCAGTCTCCAACATGCAAGCGTATCATTCGGGCAGCGGTTGCCGGGCAGAGGGGCCTCTACGTCCGACGGGGTGCTCTGGCGACGCTGCC